CCCCCCCCCTCCGGCAGGTTCTAGAGATGCTGCAGACGGGAGTTGTAAGTCCGCAGCACTTTCGACAGGCGCCCTTTGCAAACTTTCTGGCGCTTAAAATGACCCTCCGGGCTCAGGGGCGCTCAGCATCTCTTGACTTGTCCCCGTTGTCCCTTACGGCGAGGAGCTGCTGGTGTGTGCTGTGCCTTCCCGCCATTGGCGCTATTTATTTATTTATTTATTTTTAATTTCCTCCCGACTGGCACATTTTAAGCTCCCTGATAACCTTTAGTTGACTCTTCCTTCTTCGTCGGTGTCAGGACTTTGCAGTGCAGCGATCTTGTGTCGTGGGTGCTCACGGCGTCCCCTTCTCCTCCCCTTTTATTTGCCTCTGTGCCACCTACGTTTTGCACTGCATGGGTCTCCTATGCTAATTGCAAGATACTTCGGAACTTGGTATCGAAACAAAACTTTATGAGGCACCCCATTTATAAATGAGTACGGTTCAGTGGGCCCTGTGTTGAAAAATTGCATTGCTTCCGTGAGCTGTCAGTGACTTTCTGTAAAGAGGCATCTTTCTTACAAAAGAAGGTTCAATAGTAGCAAGTTCTGAAATGTGTGTGCTCTTAAGTTCCTTGTCCTGGAAACTATACAACTCCAGGCTTACCTTCCGTGTTCTGTCTGTGATGCCACACGTGTTACATCTTGCGCAGGCGTGCTCTTCCTGATAAGAATTTTTTCTGATGAAGGCAGACATTAGACAATTGTTTATTAGAAGAGTTTTTTAAAAAAAAATAAAACAACAAACCCAACGAACAAAATAAAGAAAATACCAAAAACATTTCGTAAACTTAGTTCACTCTTCATCTTGTCACAGCACACAGAGACAGACTGACACATGCCTGTCGCGTGCATCCTTATCATTTGGAAATAAAAAATACTTAAAAATGCTGACAGGCACAGCTGAAGATGCACTTACTTCTTACCCTTTCAGTGTTGGCCTTGATGTTATTCTTTCTCAGACATTATTCATACTCGTTCTGAGAGTAGCTTTTGTAATTAAGAAAAAAAGGCTAGGGAACAGCTTTAAGGAAAGAATCATGAGAAAAAGGGAAAAATTACTGGTTTTGTATGGTGTTTAAGGACCTGTCAGCATCTATGTAGATCTTCTTGTACAACTTGACCAGCACGTTACATTAATAAATCACTGACTGATATATCATATTTTAACAGTGTTCTTCCTGAACTTAAAAATAGTAAAAATTTACTTAGTAGTTGCCTGTTTCCTTCAAAATATGTTCCATTGGATACTTATAAAGTGTCCTCCAAAGGCAGTTGTTTATTGGTTCAGAAGCTGCTTGTTGAGTCTTGGTAACTGTGACACTTAAAATTTAAAATCAAAAAAAGATTGGGGAGTGGAGGGGAGCGACTAGTTTCAGGTACTTACATCTTGGTTTCCCAACAGTCTTGAAGCACAGGGGCAGTAAGGTAGAATGCCCTCCGACGGTGTTTCCCAGTAGTGGAGGCAGTGGGGCAGGTCCCCTAGGTCCCTGGTTTGATATTTCTTTGGAGGCACTAACACTTGCATCTTGCCGCTTTCCAGAGAAGCAGCATCTTCGGTCTCACTTAATCAATTTAATTAATGCATTTATTTTTTCATTTTGTAGTTAATATATGATAGTTTTGCCCAGTATCTGGTAACAGAGAAGGGTTATGACGAAGACTTGCTGACTCTAGCTCCAGACAGCTTAGACTTCTGGTGAGTACATTGAAAATAACAGAAACTTTCTTCATCGCTTCCTTTGTGCTATAACCTTTACAAAGCTTGGAAAACAGCTTCTCTTATTGGGCAGTTGTTGTTATGATTGTTGTTTCCAACAGATAAATCCAAAATGACAGTTTTAAATGCTTGTTTGAAGAAGTATTTCTCATGAGATACTTCTAATGTGGTATTTTGAAGAGAGAACTGAGCAGCCAAGCTTGCTTTGTCTGTGCTTCTCACTGTCTAGACACAAGCCTTTTAGTCCCACTTACACTCTTAATTTATATATGTCCTTTGTCTTCTACCTTCAGTTCAACTGGTAAATCCAGTAACCATCAGAATTTAGTAATTTTTATCTTGACAGGTGTGGTTTTGTTTGTATAAGGCAGAATAATCCCAACAGCCTTCTGAGGAACGGAAGAAGGTTGACCAGGAGGTAGCCTTTGGGTGGCACATCAGGCACGAAACTGTGATGCGAAAGGCTGAAATGCGAGTTGCTGCTCTGAGCTCAGTCATCGCTGAGCAGGAGCTTGAAATGTGAATCTCTGATCTTCCAATTTTAACAGGTTATTATCTAGGCCAGGGGGCTGGGAGCTTGAAGGCCAGGTAATCACCTAATTTTTTAGGAGAAACACAGGGGTGTGTGTTTTTTGGTGTGGTTTTTTTTTTGTTTGTTTAAGTAATGCATGTATTATCGTGTAATGGTTTTGATCAGTTGCTTTTACAGTTCAGTACTTGACTGGACAATTTCCAGCCAGATTGACTGACAAGCAGTCTATCTGTATTTCTTGTATTTTGAGGCCTTTGATGGATGAAATCCTTTGTTAAGATCTCAATGTCTCGGCCTCGGTCCCTTATTGGTGCTGGGGATTCATTAACATGGCCCTGCAAGCCCTCAACGCTGGTAGCCAGCGTGTCAGTGCTACTCACCCAGGTGTCATTCCTGAAAGGCTGAGGTCTGCTTGCTGCCATCATGGTGTCTCTTCTTTCCTTTGGGTACCTTATAACGGCGGATGAAGGTGGCATTACTTTTTCAGTCTCATTTATTCCTTATTATCCTAGCCACTGAACTTTGAATTATTTTTTTTTTTTTAACAACCTAAGCGAACGTAGATTCAATTATCTATAAGATACAGATTTACTAGAAGAGTTAGGACCTCTTGTTGGATGTCTGTCCTACGCTGTCAACTCTTCGCCTTGTTAGCGCTGCCTAGCATGGCCATGCTGCTGCTTCACGTGTTCCTTGGATATTCAGTTGCCTCATTTAGAATGATATTCTCCCCCTCTCTCCCTTACTAACTGGTATTATCAGCCCAGTAATCATAAGTAGGGGAGTTGCCACCAAGAAAAGATACATTTCTTTAACAGAAGTGGCTTAAATATCACATTTCTTACGTGTATATATTTGGAGCTCAGTTCTCCAACCTTATGTATATGAATAGTCACTGAACTCACTGAACAGTGGAACTGGTTTTATTTTGTAGGAATTTGCTATGTAAGTGAAATCCAGTCCTCATTGTAGTAATATGTATTTGCATAGATAAAGCATTGTTCAAACATGGAACTATTTGAAGTGTTGTGGTTTTGCTGCTTTTGTGTAGCATCATTGTATACCTTCTGTAACTGCATTTCACCATTCTGATCTATAACAAAGGATTCCTTTGAAAGCATTAATTGTTTGTTTCTTCCTTAAAATAAAATTATTCTTAGTTGTAAAGGCTTGGTGTTGGACATTGAAGAAGGAAACTTCCTGAAACTTGCAGAAGATGGAACAGTTTTAAGGTAATATTGACAATAAGTTTATATTGTTAAGCAAACACAAAAATTTTATCCTCTTTCTGAAAGCCATCTCTTAGTTTTATTAAATATTTAAAATACCAATTTCAGCACACCACACATTCATTTATTATATGTAAAAGTTTAAATGCTCTTTGATAATGTGGTGCTCAGCTTCTCTTAAAGTTACACGTGCAGTTTTTTCGTAATATTTCCGTGATAACTGCTAGTAAAGAATGTCTCACTTTTAATAAACATCTGAGACTCTGAAGGCATACTGATCTTGAAAGTAAATTCAGTTTTTCAGTGGCTACCAGTGTATTCTTTTTCCCCTTCTGCTAAGATCCAGGATAAGGCTTTTCTTTGAATTGCGATTAACCTGACTCGGAGTCAGTGCTAATGACTAATGGTAATGATGAGAGGCCTATTATCTTTGTACCATACACATTCAAAATTCTGCAGGCTTACAACATATAATTTTAATAGCCTGAAGTAAAAATCTGTGTAATTTAGTACTCAAGATAGAGTCTACTTTTTCTTCCTCATAGCATATGGGAGAAGGAGCTTGAAGATGCTAGGGAAAATCAGATCTCATTGAAAGAAAGGAAGACATACCTGTGAGTCTCTGCTGTGTATCCCGAAATTCATTTAGTACCATGAATTTCGGAGTATAAATGCAGAATTTGATATTGGAAGATATACTGCAGTAAAGGGAAGAGAGGTACAGGATTACTTCTTCTAGCATTGCCTGTGTTTGCTTCGAAACTGGAGCCTGGGCATTCTTTTGGGGCCCGATTTGATGGTCAAGCTAGCTGATTTTTAATTCCTAAAAAGGCTTGTGTGTACTTCTGTGTTACACAGATGCATGCAGGGCTCAAACTAGCACTTTTCCATAGTTCTGCCCTGCGCTCTGTGAATGTTCCCAGGCTTCCGAATGATGTATAGGCTTTCTGCACTGTGTTTTATTGTGCAGTGTATATTGATAGTTCAAGTATAGCGAGTGTCCTCACACAATTGAGAACATTCGAGCAATACAGACTGATTGTGTTAGCAGGTGAGGCGCAGTACCCATGCCCCCAGCCAACCAAACCTTTGTGTAGTAGGGCTTTTATCAAGGACTGTAATGTATATAATAAAAGCTTAGGTCCTGGGAAGCTTCTAAGTTATAAAAAGAGTTACTTCTGATCAGCTTGCATGCACCTCAGTATTCAGTTGCAATGCATTACTTTGCATTAGGAGTAGTTTGGCTGTTTTCAACCTTTACCTGTTTCATTTTTATTTTTTTTTTAATATAAAAAACTTAATGCATCAAATAGGGCAAGCCATGGTACAAAGAGCATGACATCCGAAGAGATCCTGGAGACATATGGAAGGAGGGAGTGGAAGCATTTTAATACAGTCAGTGGAATGGTTTCCCGCTCAGGTTAGCATGTTCTTACCTTCGCGTGTCCTCTTCTTTGAAATTGCTCTCGCCCCTTCAGTGCCTCATAGTATTAGCTCCTACTGCAAATACTTAAAAATACTTGATCTGAGAATTTCTGGAATAGGTGAATGTTTTGGGGAAGAGTTGGGTTGGGTTTTTTTTTGTATTTTCAACTTCTAATACTAAAGTTCAACTTCAATTTAGATCACCAGTGATGAGACAAATGCTGCTGTAGGTGTGTTGGTAGTTATAGAGATGGGCACGTTGTTCCTTGATGAGGTAGGCTGAGATTACTGGCCTATCTCATTTAGGACATCTTTGGTAAATCTTAACTTTTTCTTAATTGTTGACTTGTGAATATCAGTGCCGTTACTGGAGGCCTAAGTGCAGGTGCAAAGAACAAAGCAGGTCTGGAAACAAAACTTGTCCTCCTGCAACTGTAGTTTCTTGATTTTGAGATGGGACTCGCTTTGAAGGCACTGTTGGCATTGTTGCTCGCCGCTCTGTGCTTCTTCCTGGTTTTACTTTCATCTTGGCAATTGTGAGTAATACACATAACGTGCTCAGTTGAGTTGCATTGTCCTATGTAATGGAGGTATATTCCTTGAGATTTTGCTGACACAAACTTGTTTGTGGTGATTATTCTAAACTGGAGATAATCATTTGCAACAAGGTAGAAGAGAAAGGCATATTTGCCATATGACCAAAGGAAACCTTTCTTATTCATTGGAAAGTGCGCTTGCATGCTCTTGTGAACATTAATCCGTTTTACTGCCTTGTTCTTTAATATACCTAAGGGACAGCACAGTCAAGATCCTGAATACAGAAAAAAACACTGGTTAAGTCATTTCACTCCTAGGAAAGAGTTGTTGACCATGACCTCGGTCTGGGGGGATGTTTGCAGCCTCCTGACTTCATGAGCCCCCAAAACATAACATAGTAATGTGGGCACGCTTCCCCTTGGGCTAAGGCGCTGTCTGCAGCATGTGTGTGCAAAGGACAAGACATGTCCTAATGTTTCTGAAACAACTTCTCAAACTCTTCCTTTGTGTTTCTACTGCTGGAGAAAAGGATATTTTGGAAGAGTTGAGTGATACTATCCTGACTCCTAAAACTCACGGTTCTCCCTCATCTCTTCCACTTTAACTTTTAGAACCTTAAAATGGATTTGTAAAATCTTACTGCCTTGATATAGGTGAAGAACTTTCAGTTGCCAACTATGAGAATCAGAAATGGGAATAAATGCTAACAAAGATTGTGAAGCAGATAATGCTTATTACCACTAAAATCCAAATAGGAGCTTATACTGTTATTTAAATGTATTTTTATTTATGATTAAAATATACAATATTGTTTTAAAAAAAAGAAGTAGAAATTTTTTTATTATTTTTTTTTCCAGCTAAATACTATTTGTATGATAATTATTTTGACCTGCCAGGAGCTCTCTTGTGTGCAAGGGTTGTGGACAGCTTAGATCAGGTAAGAACTGGATTGTTTGAGACTAAGTATTGCATAATCTTTCTCTTCCCCCACCACACTTCTTGCATGCGTTATTAAATGCGTAGAAATAGCATATCAAACAACATCAAGGTCTTTAGCTTTTTTCTTATTTGGAATTTTCGTGTCAGACTTAGTGTATTAAAGTTGTCTCTGAAGTGAATTGTGAGCTACATAGCATGTTGAAAATAAATGTACATCCACCAGAGGGCACAAATAACTCAGATATGAATAGAAATGCACTGTTTTCCAAGTTTACTCTGTGGTATGCAGAATATAGTTCTTGAAATCTCCTTTAATTATACTTGATGATACTTGGATTAAATCTAATTTAAGTCTTCTGGGTAACACAATTTGTTAATTTGCAAGGTGTTAATGAGTTGAAAGCTTAACTCCATCCATTTTTAAACATGTTTTTGTCTTAAATATATTGATCTGTGTACACAGATGTAAGTACACCTCTAGAATAGTATCCTTTTCTTTTTTCTCTGCTAAACAACAAATTAAATTCTCAAGGCGAAAATAAAATTGCTTGACCCTTTTTCAGTGCTTTTTAGCTAGATAGAATGTCCCAAATCCTACCTTTGAAATTTGATGCTAATTGATTTGGTTGTGTTAAAGAAGGCTTGAATCTTGAGCTTGTGTGCAGCTGTGGGTAGGAGAGGGTTCTTCTCGTACAGTGGGTATATTGGTGTCAAAAGAGCACTGATGTAATCTTCTGGCTAAAGGTACCAAAGCAGTGCAGCACTGAAAATTGCAAATACTAAACTTTGTCTGTAGAGTGAAATTCAGAGCTGTGAGGTGGGCATCTGGGATCCCTTTGGGTGTCAGCTGACTTGAGGCTTTAGCCTCTGCTCCAAATAGCATGCTGAGTAGATTGCTGCCTACGTCCACGTGCTGCATGAAGAGTTAGCTAAAGCTAGCTTATCACGAAACGCTGAGGACAGGTGTGCCATAAGACTCTTAATTTTGTGCCTGATTAATCTCCTTCCTTTACTCTTCACAGCTTAGAACCCTCTTTCAGATGTGACATCTGTATTGTATTGCTTTATTTTGTATTTAATTTAGACTCGGCACAAATCACCTGCTTATTGGGAGAGAAAGCATGTCATAGTGTGTGTTTAATAAGCTTGCACGTTCAGTTACTAGTTCACAAGCTGGAGCGCTGACCCTGTGTCAGTGCCATCTTCAGCCAGAGAGAATTAAACCTGTGCCGTTTCTCCGGAGAGCTACCAGAGTAGGTCATGCATCCTCTTTATCAGCTAGCAGTTCTTGAATATTTGACAGGGTGTTGGCCCGGTTTCAACAGGACAGCTACAGGAATTCCCCGAAAGGTTAGCATCAGCCAGATGGGAAAGGCGCAAGGCAGGAGGTGGACGGCCTCTCCGGCACTCGTGCCTGCAAAATGCTGCATCCGAAGGGTTAGAAACCATCATGTTTTCTTCTCCCACATTTCTGGAAGGAAGTAGAGGCTTCCGTTTCCTCTTCTGGGAGCCTGGTTAATAAGGGCTATTTTCTTACCACTCCTAGAAAACATTCTAGGATCAGGAAGGCTTCCTACTGGAAATAGATGGGAGAACTGCTAGGTTTGGGTTCAAAATGGGTGTAAACATGAGTTGGATGCTGGGCTACTCTACAGTATTAAAAATGAATCTGCTGTATCCAGAGCCAGAGCTCTGGACTTTTTTGGCTTTCAGACAAAGCAGAGGAGCCTCTTGGTGGTTTGGATCCTCACATTGAAGAGCTACACAAAATACTGCTTTGTCTGATAGTTTAGCTAATGAAATCACATTTGGTAATCGCACCAAAATCATGGTGGACTGCATGTGCATGCACACAGTTTCCTCTCTGCTTTCTGGGAATTGGTCTGGTTTCTAGTATGCCTCATATGCAACGGCTGTGGATTTGCAAGGAATTAAGTTGACAGTTATTTTAGTCTTCTCTGGGGTCAGATGTTTTGAAGGAAGTCTACTCACTTTTAAACTGCTATCCATCTGTCCTTAAAACAGCACTCTGAGGAACCGTTAGCTCATTGCACTGACTTTTAAAAAAGAAACCCACCCCCCCCAACCCCCACCCGAACAAAAAAAAAAAAAAAACAAACAAAAAAAAACCACCAACAAACTAAGGAGCAAGTCAGCCATGTGGACTATGAAGGAAGTGGACAGTTGAATCCATCTGCCTCCAGGTTAGTGCTAGTGTAGGCTGGTGCCATTGCCAGTAGGCAGATAGGTGCTCCTCAACATCTCCTGATTATGGCTTTGAATAATGACCTTGGTTAGCAGCCAACTGAAGTTTGACATACATGAAACCTTTTCTCTTTATTAGTTCTCTTATGTATTTCTGCGACAGTTTGCTATAGGAATGGATTTAAAAAGAAAAATTGAAAGCCACAGCTCCGTATCTTTCCTACTTTTAACCTATAGAGCTGGTGGATGATAAGCAGACTGCTATAGTGCTCGTTAGTCATGCACAAAGGGACTTGTTTGTGGCACTTGCTGGTTGTGAAATTAAGGGCGGGCTGTTTCTCTGGAAGCCTCCATGGCAGGGTAAGACTGAAAGAGGGGTTGGCTTCAGATTGTATAAAGGTTTTGGTTGGTAATGTTAAGGGTTGGTTTTTTGTTTGGGTTTTTTTTTTTCAGTTTCTGAATGTTTCCCTCTGTAAGCATAAAGCGTTTTCTAGAAAATGGGTCATTATTCAGGTATCAATGCAGTGGTCAGGACACAGAGAGTGATGCCGTGAAAAGTTTTAAACAGTTGCCTTGAAATTTATCCTAATGCAGGTGCGGAAAGCCCGCAACAACACCGCAAAGATACTTTCTGTGGCGTACAAACTCAGAGACTGTAGCACCTGCTTTACTGCTGAGTACCTCTTACAAGCTCAGTAGCTAATCCGCTGCTCTGCGATATTGGCTGGCTGTGTAATCGCATCTGTTTAAATCAGGACTCGAAAATTTGTGGAGTTTGAGAGTGCTGTGGGGCTCAGCTGGTCAAGAAGCTTTTCCTCTCCCTTGGTGAGATGCTGAAAGGGCAGTTGAGGTCAGCTGGAGCACTTCTGTGTCTGGGCGGCTTTCTAGGAACGGCGAGAGGCTGTTCGCAAGTGCAGATCACCTTCCCCTGTCCTCCTGCCAGCGCTGGGGTTTGGCAGTCTTCAGAGTACAATGTGACGCCGTGCTGCTCAGCCTGGCTTCTGGGCGAATGTTTTATACGGTGTTTGGGGTGGAGTTGTTGGCAGGAGGACATTACCTCTAAATTATAGCCAAGGATTTTGCCAGTTCTGAGGATGGAAGTGCCAGGATAATGTCAACCTGCTAATTAAGTACAGCATCAGCAGCTCTAAGCACTTTTTTCCTAAATGCCAGTGGGATGGCTCGGTCAGTGAGTTGCTGTTCTAATGTCCCCCCTTTGCTGTAAGGTCTTAGAGTTCCTCACAAGTATCAATCCTTTCTCCTTTCCCCTTCCTCCCCCACCATAACCTTCTGAAGTAGGGAGATAACTTGTCTGTGGTTACCCAAAGTTATGCTGGGTACTGCTGAGTCCTGATGTCCTGAATCCTATTGTCAAAGACTGTTTTGCTCCAAATACTTTTGTTTATTAATGGCATTGCTGTCACTGCTTCAATATGAAAGCTCGAAATAGCTGATACTTGATATAATGACTGGGTTCCTTTTGACACTTACAGCATGATGGTCAGAAAAAATATGACTTCTGGAAGGACATGGTGGCTGCTGTCCAGCATAACTATAAAATAACAGCTTTCAAAGGTAAGTGGGCTCACTGAAAACTTACTATAATAGCTGAAAATATTACATGTGCTTGCCAGAGCAAATACATTTGCAAGTACGCTGTTAAGCTACAGCTTTTACTTTTCAAGCTTACAAATAGTTGTATAATAGACACATATTTATCCTGGAATAGAACATCTTTATCATTACTATTTCTATTTCGTTTAGCTGGAACTGTTTTGCCATCTTTAATGGTACATATGATGTGTTAATTCACTGAATTTAGAAGAAAAATTGTTTCTTACCATGATTGCTATGGTAATGTGGACACCCTTGAACTATATTTTGATTCTATTCCTTGTGTTCTTGCAGTCATAAATAAAAGCAGAAATGCATTGGGGAAAAACAATAAAGTACTAACTAATATTTGATAATTTTCTTTAGGGCTTTAGTTTTCATTAGAATTCCTCCTGTAGTATTTAATAGTGAGGAGATTTGTTTTGTTATAAACGTGCTAAAAATTGCAGAGGATTTTTTTTTTTTATAATAGCCTTCCTCCACCCAAAGCCAACCTTATAATACAGTAATATAAACTAGAGTTGGAAAACATCTTGGATACCCTTCAGCTAGAAATTATTTTCCTTCTTTCAAAGACTTAACTTCTGAGTTTCTATTAGGAGTATAAAATAAGTTGAGAAAAAAGGTTAACAATCTTATGTGTGCACACGATTACTTTAAATTGGTTTTAACTGTGGGGTTTTTTTAAAAAAAAAGATGATTATATGCGGTTCAGTTCAAAATTCTGTATCACTTTGCTTACAGTATTTTCCGACAGAATTACCTCTGTTAATGCAACATACATTAGGTACAGGTGTAGTTTGGGCGCTCTTAAGACTAACCTTTTGTTTGCCACAACTGTACTACTTGCTGTATTCCTTTCAAATGTAATTGACAAAATTGTCTCAGAGAGGTTCTAAACAAAAACAGAAGTTGATGTTAGGATGCATATTGTAAAAGACAGCAAGGTATTCCTAAAATATTTTGTTTGTTGTTGTGTTTCCATTGGAGCTTTGAGTGTGATTGGTAGTTAAAAATTCCTCTAGGAAGTCATTGATACATGAAATAAATGTATCCTTTGTTTTCTGCTGGCATTAAACCAATGCTAATCAACTATAACTATTTTTTTTAATCATTTTATTCATTCTTTTTTCAAATCATGAAAGCTTTTTGTTTTAAAAGGTGTGGATCATGCAGCATTTGGCAAAAAGAATAAGTGTTTTTTGGAAACTAATTAGATCAAACAGATGTTCAAGTCTGATCTTTGAACTCATAAATAATTGCTCGGGTTTATTTCTGTATGAGTGTTTGTGTGTACATTTGTACATTTATGCATGTACCTCCCTATCAGGTACCTGCTTGTGTATGTAAGCATGGAATCTTCGTACAAACAGATTTGTGATATGACTTAATCCTTTCTAACTCCTATCAGAATTGGTACTTAATTTAACACACCTCATTGTCTGTTATAAAAGTAATGAGGCACATGAACAACAGCGTTGAAGATATAAGAAAACATAATAACTGATAGGCATCAATTATTTTGGATAAAACTCTGTAAAACAATGCAGATTGTATATGCTACTTAAATTTTTAATATATGAAAGTACTGTGCTCTGTCATGCATCACTTTGAAAGTCCTCTTAGTGCTCTTATTTTCCTTTTAATAATGTGGTTCAGCATACAAAGTGCTGAACAGGAAGTCAGAAGAACCAGAGAATTTCTTGCTGTATCGCTTACCCATGATATTCCCATGGAATAGCTCTTTTTGCCTCAGGTCCCTCAGTGCAATGAGAATAACGGTACTAATCTTCTGTCTCAAGCTTGTGCCAAAGAGATTCAGCAGACAAAGTGCTGAACAGGAAGTCAGAAGAACCAGAGAATTTCTTGCTGTATCGCTTACCCATGATATTCCCATGGAATAGCTCTTTTTGCCTCAGGTCCCTCAGTGCAATGAGAATAACGGTACTAATCTTCTGTCTCAAGCTTGTGCCAAAGAGATTATTTTTTTCCCTCAGCTGCAAGCTTAACATAACTTCCTGAGGAAACTCCTCAACCTGGCTCTGGCCCAACGGCTACCTAAATACCAGGAAGCCCCACCGTCTTTCTGAGCCCAGAGCCTGGCCTGCAAACCACAGCCTCTTGACTTAACTCCGTGCCCTCGATGCTTTCTAGAGGGTTTAACCCTTCAGAGAAGAGCAGTGCTCATTAACGGTTAGTCAAGGTAAAATTTCTAAAGCAAACTTACTGAGAGGTCAGTTGAGGAGACGCAAAGTTCCCAAGTCGAAATGCTGTCTTAGTAGTGCCATTGTCAGTGACGGAGCAGAACGACTGACCATTTTATTTCTTGAAATCCCTAAGTGTTTGCAAGTCACTCTGGTTTGTTGTCAGTATGCCCTTGTTTCTCTATGTCCCTTCTCTTTTTCACATGATTTCTTTGATCATAATCAGGTGTCTGGTGGATTTTACTTTTCATTGTCTTAGCTATGGTAATTGCCTTAGATAATTGCCCTATGATATTTTTTTTGGATGGCTCTTTCAGATAGCCATGATTGTCCTGACTTAGCTTAATGAAGGGTATTAACCCACTCTTCTACTTGTTAGGAAGTGAAGAACTGAGGCTTAGAGAGGGAGAGCAAGAGGGTTCCAAAATAGTCTTGTGTTATTCTGATCTTCCTTTCCAAAGAATAACTCAAAAAAATTTGGGAGGATGTATTAAATAATACCACCAGAAAAGTGTGATGTCAGATAGCAGTGAACACAGATACTCATGTTTTCAAAATGGTCATTTCTTACCTAATAATACCTGCAAGAGTTCCCTCTGTAATTGATACCCAAGTTGAGCCTTAAATTACTTGAGCAATCCTTTCTGTAAACCTTTAACTTGTTACTGGAATATTTTGCAGCTTGACGATGATTAGCATGAGTTTGTATGTGTTTCACTTGGTTTATATTCTATATGAATTAGTAAAGAGCAATTTAAAAAGAAATGGCATGTGGCAATGTATTTCACACTATATAAATATGTGGACAAAGGTCCACAACACATTATGGAAACAAAGGCTGATTTTTAGAGGAGTAATGAGGGCTTGAAGTACTGTTTAACTTTTTCCACATTTCAGATTCGGTGATACTTGGATAGAAAAGTCAATAGTTTTTGAAGGAGGAAGTTGCCTGATACAGCTGCTTAAAGCAGAATTTTGTAAAACGTCTTCTCTTAGAGGCTGCTTTCCCTCTGTCTTCCATGATGGTCTTTCCATATCATTTCCCTGACACTTCTTAAAACTGTGGCATCTGTGTTTGTATAGTGAAAATGACATATTTGCAATACTTTCAGTAAGTTCATAAGATTATATTTCATTTTGGAAGTAAAAAGGTCATGGCTAATACGGCAGCAGAGACTTCATAAATTGCCCATAAAAAGGCTTGATGGGATCTGCTCTCAGGTTTCAAGGATGCGTCTGAGAAAACTTGTCACTGACCATCTTTTACAAAAAGGAAAATGATCAGAGAACAAAAGTGCTATACTTAAAACATGGGGTTTAGTAACTTGCATTTTTTCTTTTGTGTGGTTGATCAGCATTCTGATCAATAGGTCAGCATGCTGATGTGTGGGAAGCACCACTTTGGGGAGGAAGACTTTGGATCTTTCTAAACTACTCCGTTCTGTCCCAAAAAATGCACGTGAGCACACACACACGCATGTTCCCACACACAGAGGTTTTTGATTGCAGGTTTATGTTATTACCCTCTTGTCTTGGCCAAAGATAGTGGACCTAGATGTCTGTGATATGTGCATTATATCATTTATATGCAACTTCAAATGCAACAAACAAAAAGCAAAGATGCTTTTCTGGCCAAAAGGAAAGAATCCTCCAAAAATCCTGCAAAACATGAGAAATTCCTAATGTTGATGTAGACCCGTGATGAGAGATCGTTATTTGTCTTCATTGTGAAAATGGCAACAAAGATAAAAGCAAACAAATTTGTTACACTTCTCTGCTGGGCTTCCCAGCTAAATACAGAAGGGATTATTTGGGTGCTTTGCTTGTTTGAATGCTTAAGAACTACTGAAGTTTGTCTCAGAAATGTTTTTGAAGCCTTTGGAAATTAGTTTTTTACTATTACAGGCTCTTATGTTTTCATTTTCATCTCGTATTGGGTTTTATTTCCTCTAATGCCCATGACCCAGAAAAAGATGTGGTTTCTGGAAGAGCTTTATCTTTAGGTAGATTGCTGATCTTCATGTGGAGAAAATATTAAAAAAAAAAAAAAAACCAAAACAAATTCAGGAATCTTAGACCTTCTTAAGGTCCCCTCTAAATTGAGACTTCAAAGCTAAAATCAAGGTAGAAATTGTGCTTGTGCCACAACTTGGTGTGTAAACTCTGGCTTTTTAGTGTTTAAGAGTTGCTTTCTTAATGATTTAGTGTCTGAACAATTATGAAAGCCTTCAAAAAGACAGGCATGAGGTACTAAGTGGTAGACTTATTTGAAGTCCTATGTGCTCCTTCGAGGAACAAAGATGTTAAAGGACACAACTTGATTTTAAGTGGGTGGATGATAAGGATTAGTGAACTATACTTTTAAGAATACTGTCAGGACCCAGTTTCTTATGCGGAGACATGTTAATTAGAATCACAGGACAGTAATGTACTGCCGAGCACCAAGTATCTCCAACAATTTTAGACATGTGCTTTGGCATACATTTCAGATGTAAAGCAATTAACCAGAAACTTTACAGCTACTGAGCAGTATTTTCCAGCTGCAGAATCCAGTCCCTCTATTTTTTTCTGAAACAAAATTACCAGATTAGTTGAATGTATTGGCAGTAGCGAGTGCTATGTTTAAATATTGGAAAGTGCTGTTCAACTAATGCAAATGACCGCACAGGAAAACATTTTTAGTTCAATAAAGAGATAATTCTTAGGAGATCTGTAATTAATATTTGGCCTAAACCAGGAAGGTAGAAAAGTGAGGATAGAGAATTCAGACTCAAGTGTCTTGAATTTTATTTTGGCTTGAAAGAACAGCATCGCAGGATTGTTACTTAGAAATTGGGGTACTGTCCACTGTATTATTTCCATACAAACGTTTGTGTGCAGTGTTTGTAATAGCAGTACCAATTTGTTTGCCTCTGTCTACTTGGCTGCAACAATAAGCAGATCTCAAGTTACACTCTCTACTCAAGCATTTATTACTTTACCAAAGTATAGCCTAAACCACAGGCTTCCTTATCCAGCAGAACTTATTAAGGGGAGAAAAAACAATTCTGCAAAGTTACTTTCTTGGTAGTTCTTTATGGTTTCCAAAACATTAAATATTTGCTAATGATGGATCAACCTAAAGGTGTCCTTGCTTTTTTTATTAATCCCAATGCATTATCAAGTACTTAGGAAATTGCTGATTTCAAATGTATACAACATAACAGGCCTCAGGTTCTGCTTTCATGAAGAAATGATAATATCACAAAACTTCTAAATGTGGGCCTACGGACTTTTTGTGCAAGTGATTAAAAAATTCTGTTTAAAAAAAAAAAGCAAAAAATAATAGGTCAAGCGTTCATAAGGTATTGGATGTATATACTTTGAGAGCAGATGAATGGTAACTGTCATTGGAAGAAATGTATGACCAAACTATTATAGTTTCATAATTTATAAGCACTAATTTTATGAAGCTATCTTTATACCATTAACTTTTCATAAAGTCATAACAGAATAATGTAATGTCTGTTTGTGAGATGTGTGTGTAGATATGGTATATATGATTATCTACTGACTAATTACTTTCATCACCTCATAAATTTACCATGTAAGTAAGACTATTGTGTTTTAAAGGAATGAACTGTTCAGGGAAAATCAGTGCAACGATTGTCTCCAAAATTGGGGTGGTAAAGCTGTTCTGATTTTGTGAGTGTCTGCATGATTGTGAAGGTATGTTCTTAATGTCTGGACTTGGTGACAGTTATTTGACAGTACTCTGAATGTTGTAGTTTTACAGAATATTAGGAGCTTAAAAAATATTGAACTAGTTTGTTGCTGCAGACTACAAAATGTGCATCAAACAAAGCTAAGTGGATTTCCAGGCTTCAAGTCTGGTTGCTTTTTCATATTGTGAAAGTCTTACATCTTCAGAACAGGTAATAATTTGTAAGTCTACCTTTCTCCAAGGTAGTTATTTATTAATAAGAAAAGCAGAACGAAATTAAAACTGTGACAAAGTATGCACTGTTTTAAAGCTGTTTTCTTGACTCCTGTTTGGTGGCTTAAAGATAAAGGTGATATAGCAGAATGTTCCTGAAGTATATTATCCAGCTGTTGTGATGGCTGTGGTGTATCAGACTGTTTACTTTGAAGAATATCTTCAGTTAATTCAAGTATAGTGAAGTGTGATCTAGAGTCCTGGCATGGCTAATTCATGTGTCATGAGAAGTGATAGTTAGAAATTCTGATTTTTTTTATATTTTTTTTTTAATAAAAAAAAGAAGAAAGAGAGGCTGGTGCATTATATTAATTCATAAAATTTTAATGTTGCATTCAGTTGGACAATTGATCATAATTTGAAACAAATTTCTTATGACAATTCTCTAAAAACATACAATATTATTCTACTAAGTTTGAACCAATCTCTTCCACCTTCTCACTCTCTCCTCCATTTCTGCTGCGAAATTGAAGTTGCATGACCTGCTAATGATGCATCAGATCAGTGCCCAGTTAAAATGGTCTGAAGGAGAGAATGTCAGGACAGTGTAAATGGGATGTTGTTAGATATGAGCAAATAGGAAACCTGAGAAAGAAGAGTGAACGTAGTCAGAGGAATAGAGACCATTAGATTCTGAATTGGGCAGTTGGAGCCATACTTGATCGTTCTCCATGAGATCAATGACAGCACTGCCAGAAGCCTGGTCAAGGTATCCTTTCTTGTACTCATCATAGGTGTACATGAGCGGGGAACCATTTTTGTAGAGTGCAACCCAAACATTTGTTCCTTTTGCATGTACATGGTAGGAGAAATAGTACAGTCCAGGGATCCTGCAGGTGAAGATTCCTGTTCTGGGGTCATAGTGTTGCTGCCTATTGTACAAGATTTTATCAAATTTGATGGGGACTGTTGCCCCAGGGTAGGCTTTTGAGAGGATGACACTGAAAGCAGACACTGGCATCCCTGTAAGAGCTTGGTTTACTCCTTTCATGTAAGACATTCCTGATAGCTCCCGAGACTCTCCTGCTTTAACATAGCTTTCAGGCATCTGGGGGATTGCAGCTTGGCCGGGAGGACCAGGAGGACCTGGGGGGCCTGGCAAGCCGGGCTCTCCATTGTTGCCTTTAGGCCCAGGGGGTCCAGGTGGTCCCATGGGTCCACTTAAGCCTTTTGTAGCAATACCTGCTGGGCCTGGCAGCCCTGGTGCTCCTGGCTCACCTTTTGCACCAGGGGCTCCTGGCAGGCCAGGGGGGCCGATGGGGCCTCTGATCCCAGGTATTCCTGAAGGCCCTCTGGGGCCCGGCTCACCATTGATTCCTGGCACTCCCTTAACTCCTTGTGGACCCATTGGACCGGGCAAGCCAGGTAGCCCAGCGTGGCCAGTGTCGCCTTTTGGACCTGGGAAACCTGGGTGGCCCTTAGGACCAGCAAGACCCTGCTCACCTGGGTATCCTGGTTTTCCCTCTAATCCTGGTAGACCTCGTTCACCTTTGGCCCCTGGGAATCCCGGGGGTCCTGCAGGACCCACGTCACCTTTGGGTCCAGGTAGGCCATTCTCACCGGGCAAGCCTTTGAGTCCTTGAGGGCCCATATTCCCTGGTGGCCCAACAGGTCCTGGTTCTCCTGGCACACCAGCTGGGCCTTGGTCTCCTTTAGGTCCTGGAAGGCCAGGAGGACCTTCAGGCCCTCTGTGTCCCTTCATCCCTGGCA